TTGCTTACACGCATGGAAGTTCATTGGTTCTGGAGGCTGTTGTTGGGATGTGAACTGGTCCTTCTGACTGGGGAATATTCTCCTGATGACAGTGGCTGCGCTTGAGTAAAAACGTGTTGTTCCCTGCAGGGTCCCTGCTCAAAGATGTGCTCCAGACAGAGCTCCGGAGGCTGCCATGGGATGTCCTCCCAGTCCAGCGGGTGCCACAGCGGCGGCTCCTCCTGCTGTGGGGGCTCCAGCTCAGGAAGCAGCGGGGGCTCCGGCAAGATCATCGTCAGCTCTGGAGGTGGAGGAGGAGGATCCTGCTGCAGTGGGGGCTCCTCAAGTTATGGCATAGGAGGAGGCTACAGTGGTGGATCCAGTGGGGGATCTGGCCAGAAGATCATTGTTAGCTCAGGTGGTGGAGGAGGAGGCTCATCTGGAGGCTGCTGCAGTGGAGGATCCAGTGGTGGGTCTTCAGGGGGCAAGATCATCATTGGAGGTGGAGGTGGTGGCGGTTCCTCTGGATGTTCTGGTGGAGGATCCAGCATGGGAGGAGGATCCAGTGGTGGGTCTTCAGGATCAAAGAGCATCACTGGAGGAGGCAGTGGAGGCTCATCTGGAGGCTGCTGCAGTGGGGGATCCAGTGGTGGGTCTTCAGGAGGCAGTATCATTATTGTAGGTGGAGGTAGTGGGGGATCCTCTGGAGGCTATAGTGGAGGATCCAGTGGTGGGTCTTCAGGATCAAAAAGCATCATTGGAGGTGGAGGAGGCAGTGGAGGCTCATCTGGAGGCTGCTGCAGTGGGGGATCCAGTGGTGGGTCTTCAGGAGGCAGTATCATCATTGTAGGTGGAGGTAGTGGGGGATCCTCTGGAGGCTATAGTGGGGGATCCAGTGGTGGGTATTCAGGATCAAAGAGCATCATTGGAGGTGGAGGAGGTAGTGGGGGATCCTCTGGATGCTGCAGTGGAGGATCCAGTGGTGGGTCTTCAGGAGGTGGTATCATCATTGTAGGTGGAGGTAGTGGGGGATCCAGTGGTGGGTATTCAGGATCAAAGAGCATCACTGGAGGTGGAGGAGGTAGTGGGGGATCATCTGGGTGCTGCAGTGGGGGATCCAGCTATGGCATGGGAGGAGGATCCAGTGGTGGGTATTCAGGATCAAAGAGCATCATTGGAGGAGGAAGCAGTGGGGGATCCTCTGGATGTTGCAGTGGGGGATCCAGTGGTGGGTCTTCAGGAGGTGGTATCATCATTGTAGGTGGAGGTAGTGGGGGATCCAGTGGTGGGTATTCAGGATCAAAGAGCACCATTGGAGGTGGAAGCAGTGGAGGTTCCTCTGGATGCTGCAGTGGGGGGTCCTCAAGCTATGGCATGGGAGGAGGCTACAGTGGTGGATCCAGTGGGGGATCTGGCCAGAAGATCATTATTAGCTCAGGTGGTGGAGGAGGAAGCTCATCTGGAAGCTGCTGCAGTGGGGGATCCAGTGGTGGGTCTTCAGGAGGCACGATTATCATTGGAGGTGGAAGTGGTGGCGGTTCCTCTGGATGCTGCAGTGGAGGATCCAGTGGTGGCAGTGGTGGCTCCTCAGGCCAGACAATCGTCATCAGCTCTGGAGGAGGCAGCGGAGGCTCCTACCAGTCCTCCCAGCAGAAATGCCCTATTGTGATCCCCCACATCCAGTCCCATCAAACCAAGCAGTCCTGCCACTGGCCCCCCAGCCAGCAGAAGTAACAGGCACGGAAGCCCTGTTGTCATCAAGAACATCCCTGCCTTTGTCTTCCATATCTGCCTGTTTGCTCCCTGCATGTCCTCTCCCCTTGTCTTCACTTGATGCTACACCCCTGTGCTGTGACCTCCCACATGGATCTTCTGCCCCATTCATATGAAGGCAAATAAAGGTTACTGTGTGCTAAGAGAACTGGTTTTTCACGGTTGCTTTCATCCTTTGTCAGTCTCATGTTTACTTTCAGAAAGTGAATAACACATCAAATACTTTCCTCTGTGAAATGTTCTTCAGCCTCAGTGCTGGAGCAGAGAGTTCTGAACAGGTCTTGCTTGGGAAAAACCCTGTTTCTTAAGCAGATGACTATTGTCCCTCTGGCAAATAAAGGCTCCAACTTTAACCTGGGAAATGCCTCCACCTCGGTTCCCCTGCCCAGAGAAGGAAGCAGATCACAAGCTCTGGGTTTCACTGCAGGAGTTGCCAGGGCAGACAGCAGCACCCTTTGGAAATACAGTTGGGTTTCATTGGCCCCATTGCTCTAGATCTGTCACAAGACAACCATTAATTATGGTAGGCAACACTCGGTAGCATTTGTGCTGAGGTCAGCAGGAGTTCCTCTTCAGGATGCGTGTGATGACAGTCTTCCATTCAGTACATTTTAAGCTAAGTGGATGCTTTTGTCCATCTTACACACCCAACTGGTAGGTAGAAAACAAAACTAAGGGTTCCAAACACTTGAGGGATCTCAAGTCACTTGAGTTGACTGACCAACTTCTGCTTTTTGGAGCTAGAGAGCTCTTCTTACACAAGTACTTTACCACGTCCCATGCTATCAGTGTTAGCATCGTTCTGCATGAAGGAAGCTGCTGGGAAGCTGTAGGAGCTGGGTAAGGTTTTATTTCTCTCATAGCAATACCCATCAAGGCACTACCCATTGTGGTGTTTGCAATGGTGAGACTGAAAGACAATTTGACCGGTCTGCCCACCCTGAGGATGACTGGTCTATAGGGCTGAAAAGGGCCCAGATAGCATTAGAAAACAGGCAGCATGGCCCACATTTGAGGCAGCCTCCACCACAAAGCCTCTGTCATTCATCCTTGCCTTTACCCAAAACTCTTCCTCTTTATCCTAGGGGAAGTGGTGGCAATGTCAACCTCTCCAGCAGCTGTGGTTCCAACCACCTTCCTCCATGTGTGGCAACTGCTACACGTGTCCCCATGTTTCCAGTCCCTGCAGGGTTCAGCCCTGGGGTCTCCAAGCAGTGTTTGCATGACCACTTCTCACCACCCTTGCCAAAAGCTTCCATAACCTTCCCTCACACCCTGGATCCAAATGAGCTGTAAGTCCTTGGTGCCCTTTTGTGCAAGTCCCTACAGGATGAAGTCACTGAAGGGATCAAGGTGTTGTGATGCTGTAGCACAACGCCCAGATTTCACAGGTTAGAGCCAGAGTTGCACTGAGACCTTCAATTTCCCATTGGTGATGAGAGTGGAGCTAAGGCCACTGGAGGAAGTCCAAAGCAAAATGAAGTCCCTTGAACCTATGTTCCTGGTGTTGATGGTCCCGTCCCCATACCAATGGAGTTGCATCCATGCTCACCATCATTTCCATTGTGACAGGGCTGGGCTGTCTGCTGCTGCTGTCATGCATCCTCTTGACTAAAACCTCCCAATTATTCTTTCCTCTACTCAGTCTCCATTGAGGGTGGATGCTATTGTCAACCTCCAAGCACGCATGACGCAGTGACAGGGTGAAGCTGCTGCAAATACGGCAGCCAGCACTGCAATAACTGCTCATAAACTGTCATTCTCCAGCAAGCAAAAGACCTAGATACCTCCCCAGCCCCAGGCATGAAGCAGGACCCTCAGAAAATAGGTCTTGCTGAGAGAGAGGAGATGTTGAATGTTCTTGAGTTCAAGGGTAGGGTCTTGATGGCCTTCAAATGCACTTTTGCAAAGAAAGGGGTGATTGGGACCCCAGGAAGCTGGGACTGAACATGGACAACCTCTGCTCAATCCAACAGGAGAATCCACCCTGGGGACCCAAAAGGGTGGAAGGAAATGGCCACCACATCTTTGCAACCCTCATGGGGCCCTCTGAAATGGATATGGGCTGAAGTGCTCCAAAGCAGTGCACTGCCCATTGCAGGTTGTATCTCTGGCCTGTTGACCACATAGTTCCCTTTCCCAAGGGACTGGACACAGGCCTGCTCCCCACACAGCTCCCCATATTTCCAGTTTTTAAAGAAGCCCTCTTTCCCCCAGAATTCCCTGAGACCCTACTCTGGAGCATCCTTTACCTTTGCCCTTCCATCACACTGTAGCCCTAACTCACTTCAGCCTCCATCCTTCAGCATCTGCTTTGTCTCCACTCTCTCCTGAGTACCCAAAAAGCTACAACATAGCAGCAATGCTCTGGGGAGCCCCCAAGGGGGACCCCCAGAAGCCGTTTGACCCTAAGTTTCAGAGCTAGACTCATGGAAATGAATCATTGAGTAGAATTATCAACAGCAATGAAGATCGTGATTGATACGTCTCCTTCGTCAGCACCTATATGCTTCAAGTGAGTCAAAGAAGGAGGTATCTAAAGCCAGGCTCATAAATAAATCTATCAGCATTCCATAGGGTGTCTCACTTCCCTTAAGAGCTTAATGTATCGATATAAAAGCTCACCTATCCCAGGGCTCTTCATTCACCTCCAGCGGAGCCTTGCGCACATTTCCAGTTGCACTCAAGGTAAGCCCATTGACATGGAAACCTTTTGATCCCAATGCAAAGAGGTTGCTCCACCAGTTGGTCTTTGAGCATACTTTGAATGAGGGAACCATCCTGGCTCAACACTGGATGGGGTTCATGGAAGACCAATTTGGTGTGCCAACTGGACTGAACTCCCTGCAGAAGGGAGTTGTAGCTAACATTCTAAGGGTTGAATTTTCAGCTGCTGTGAGTTTTAGCAGTCTATACATCCAAAAGGACCTAGAGTGGGACTAAATCTGTTAGAGTGCTGGCTCTCAGCATGTCAGAGCACATGTGCAGATCTCTAGAAGTGCTCTCAATCTCCCTGCATGCAGAGTATTTCCATAACTGATGTGATCTGCAGACGATGCCCTGGGTGCTTTTCATTTAAGGTCTTCCCTCCTGCCTAATAAGGGTGAGGGAGTTTATGAAGCAGAAGAAGGGGCAGATGGGGTATTTTCTGGTTACTGCTTGATCTCTGGTTTGCTATGAAGGTTCAGCAGCACCTCCAAGGTGCTCCTTTCTGACAGCACTGTTTCTTCCAGGGTCCCTTCTCAAAGATGTGCTCCAGACAGAGCTCCGAAGGCTGCCATGGAATGTCCTATCAGTCCAGTGGCTGCCACACCGGGGGCTCCTCCTACTGTGGAGGCTCAGGGGGCTACGGCGGTGGCAAGATCATCGTCAGCTCTGGTGGTGGAGGAGGTGGATCCTGCTGCAGTGGGGGCTCCTCAAGTTATGGCATAGGAGGAGGCTACAGTGGTGGATCCTGTGGGGGATCTGGCCAGAAGATCATTGTTAGCTCAGGTGGTGGAGGAGGCTGTTGCAGTGGGGGCTCCAGTGGTGGGTCCTCAGGGGGCAAGATCATCATTGGAGGTGGAAGCAGTGGAGGATACTCTGGAGGCTGTAGCGGAGGATCCAGTGGTGGGTATTCAGGATCAAAGAGCATCATTGGAGGTGGAAGCAGTGGAGGATACTCTGGAGGCTGCAGTGGAGGATCCAGTGGTGGGTATTCAGGATCAAAGAGCATCATTGGAGGTGGAGGTAGTGGAGGATACTCTGGAGGCTGTAGCGGAGGATCCAGTGGTGGGTATTCAGGATCAAAGAGCATCATTGGAGGTGGAAGCAGTGGAGGATACTCTGGAGGCTGTAGTGGAGGATCCAGTGGTGGGTATTCAGGATCAAAGAGCATCATTGGAGGTGGAGGTAGTGGAGGATACTCTGGAGGCTGTAGCGGAGGATCCAGTGGTGGGTATTCAGGATCAAAGAGCATCATTGGAGGTGGAAGCAGTGGAGGATACTCTGGAGGCTGTAGCGGAGGATCCAGTGGTGGGTATTCAGGATCAAAGGGCATCATTGGAGGTGGAAGCAGTGGAGGATACTCTGGAGGCTGTAGCGGAGGATCCAGTGGTGGGTATTCAGGATCAAAGAGCATCATTGGAGGTGGAAGCAGTGGAGGATACTCTGGAGGCTGTAGCGGAGGATCCAGTGGTGGGTATTCAGGATCAAAGAGCATCATTGGAGGTGGAGGTAGTGGAGGATACTCTGGAGGCTGCAGTGGAGGATACTCTGGAGGCTGTAGTGGAGGATCCAGTGGTGGGTATTCAGGATCAAAGAGCATCATTGGAGGTGGAAGCAGCGGAGGATACTCTGGAGGCTGCAGTGGAGGATCCAGTGGTGGGTATTCAGGATCAAAGAGTATCATTGGAGGTGGAAGCAGCGGAGGATACTCTGGAGGCTGCAGTGGGGGCTCCTCAAGCTATGGTATTGGAGGAGGCTACAGCGGTGGATGCAGTGGGGGATCCAGCCAGACCATCATCAGCTCAGGTGGTGGAGGTGGAGGATCATCTGGATGCTGCAGCGGAGGATACAGTGGTGGTTCCTCAGGCCAGACAATCATCATCAGCTCTGGAGGGCGCAGCGGAGGGTCCTATCTGTCCTCCCAGCAGAAATGCCCTATTGTCATCCCCCACATACCGTCCCATCAAACCAAGCAGTCCTGCCACTGGCTCCCCAGCTACCACAAGTAACAGCCACAGGCAGCCTTGGCACTCAGCAAGAGCAGCCCTGCCTCTGCCATGTCACCTTTGTACCTCCAGACCTGGCTGTTCGCCTGCTCCTTTCCATGTCCTCTTCTCTTCCCTTGATGGTGGACCTCTGTGCTGTGAAGTCAAGGATTAACAGCCTGGTGCTGTTAAAATGCCTTTGATATGGTTCTGTTGCTTTTCCAATGAGCGTATTTTATATCTAATAAATGTAATAATATCTTAAGTGTCTTTGGCAAAAAAATTCTTTTTTCTTATGTTCTTGGAAGCTAGAGAAGACATTTCACTCCTCTCTGTAAAGAACATGCTGGCTTCAATAGTGTACTGCTGTTGGTGCAACTCTAAAGCCACTTACTTAATAGCCCCTCATTGTCCCCCTGGGCTCCATGACAGTGCAACAGCACAGCCTAGAACATGGATCAACCACAACATCCAACATCCTTTTGGTGCCTGGGCATTGTGAAGCTCCATCCCAGCTCATGGCTCCATGTCCTCTGAGGTACCAGCACGCAATGACCATGTCTGTGGAGCAATGAAGTGCTGCTGGGAGGTATGACCAAGCCCAGGAGGCTCAGTCCTGAAAAGCAGGGATCAGGGCTGACCCTCAACAGCATCTCTTTCTGCATGGGGTGGTTAATAACACCAAGCCAATGCCCATGTCCCTGCCATATTCCCCTTCCCTTGAGCTTTGCAAACCTCAGAAAATCCCTACCCAGAGGGCAAGTCTCAACATGCTGAGTCACGCAAATCAGCCCTAGGCCAGGCAGAAGGAAATAGAACCAGCAGCAAGTCCCTCAGGCAGCTAAACACACTCCAAATCTTGCCATCAACCCCTCCTTGCCCAAGCTGTTGAAATCTGCCTTGAAATGCCAAGGGCAGCACCATCACCTCCATGCACGGCTTTTCTGCCTGGCAGATGTGGCCTGGACATGGCCCTTTGCCAATGCTGGGACTCACTGTCCCCACAGCAGAGCTGAAAAAACTTAATCCAGCCCAAAAGCCATGCCGTGGGCTCGAGCTGGAGCACAACAGGCTGCAGTGAGGACGTCATACAAGGCAGCACTATCAGCATGGCCACTGCACAAGTCCCCTGCAGCCCTCCAGAACAGTTTCCCTGGTGCTTATTGCTGTTTCCAAGCCAGAGGAAGGACATAGAATACAAAAATGAGGAAGGAAAGCATTTGGAGGCATAATCCCTCATTACAGTAACCCAGTCACAGTAGATTTAAGCGTTAGGATGTTCACACCTCCGCAATTCTCCTCAGGGCCTCTAAGGTTCCTCAGAGTATCTCTAACACCCTTGCATAATTTGGATGAGCTTCTGGTTTGGATGTAAATGTCTTCCTTGGAAAATCTCTCACTGGAGCATCCATGTACTGTGTTGTACCACCAGATGCCTTCTGAGCATTTGCCTTCCCCTCTCATGGGTACCCACACATCTCTATCTTAATCAATGCCCCAAGCACTGCTATCACTAATGAACCAGCCTCCCTGCCCTTCACTAAGTAGGACCTGGTCAGCACCAGCCTCTGCCCCACACTTTTGCTCAGCATTTCTCTATACTCACCCTCTCACCCACCTCCCCTCATCTCCCTCAGCATCATCACATCAAAGCGGTCCTCCATAGCACAGGGCAGGAGCACAGGAATAGGATCATTAAGCAGAAGTAGCAATTATTGCCTCATGCAACTCAACAAGCAGTACGAAGGAAAGATATTGATCAGATGTCATGAGTCAAAGCAAACACTGAAATCAGTGTTTGGTAAATAAATCCTTGCCATTCCTTAGTGTGTCTCACTTCCCATATATGCTAAATGCCATATAAGAGCTCCTGTCTGTTAAAGCTCCTCATTCAGTCGACTTTTAGCTTCTAAATGTGTTTCCAATGGCTGAGAAGGGTAAGTCTGCTCTTTTCTGGGTCTTTCTTATTTCATACTCAAAGGAGGTAGCTTCACCTGAGATCTTGACACATGCTTGCAGCAGTACCCATGCTGCCTGACAATCCATAGAGAGGGTCTCAGGATCTGTACAGTTTCTGGCTTTGGTGTGGATCAGATCAGTGGGAAGCAAGGTGAAGCCCGGTCATGGGGCTGAAAGAGGCTAAAAACTCAGCTGAGTCTGTAGTTGGACCAGCATGTGGTGACTGCATTGTCTTTATAGTTTTGAAGGAGTTTGCAACATGCAGGGCACATTCTTGATATGAAACAACAAGCCTGTGCTGTATTTCACAATGGTTACATGCTTCTATGTGCCGATTACCTTATGGTAAAGAATTTGGGGGATAATTTGCAATGATGGCAATAAAACAGCCAGCGATGTCATCTTGCATGGATATTTGGATCCACCATTCTTGCCATGTTTCAAAAACAGAAGCAAGGCTTATCCTCGCTGTTTTTACAGCTCATGAGGATGAGCGGGGAAAACCATGGCAGTTACCAGATATTAAAGGGATATATTTCAGATTTTGATTTTTCTAGAAATACACCCTGGAGAAAAAAGAGAATCTCTGCAAGTAAGAGACAAACACTCTTGCATTTGAAGAGCAGCTAGGCAGAACCCAGTTCTGAAGCCTGGCATTGTCACACACACACACACACACGTTTTTCTGACCACACCGCCTGAAAATGGTACAAAAATTGAACCAAAATGGTCCAGATTTGGGATATGACTTTTTCCTGTTTCAGATTTATCACTATCTCCGCGGGAGAATGAGATGCGGCCGGAGGAACAGGGGCAGGGGCTACAGCAATGAGATCTCCTCGCACCACGGCTTCCCAAACATCCAGGGACATGGCTCCTTCTTCTGTGGTGGGGATGGCTCGGTCACGTACAGCCGAGGAGCTTCATCCTTCGAGCCCATGCCAACATCATCCACCTACAGTGTATCAGGGGGCTACAGATGTAGCGGTGATGGATCTGTTGTAATATCCAGTGGTGACAGTGGGGGGACTGGGTGGGGAGTTGGAGGGGGGACAGTCCCTGTCTATGGTGCTGGGCGAGGGATAGGGTATGGCAGTGAGGACTCATGCAGGAGCATCACTGGCAGCTCAGGTGGAGGATCTGGCTGCCACAGCGACAGAATGGGCGTCACTGTGGGAGAAGGTTGTGGATACGGCTACGATGCGTCACCAAGGTGCATCCCAGGGGGAGGTGGTGGATCAGGGCACTATAGCAGGGGATTGGGCTATAGCACAGGGGGATACTCAGGCCCAGAGCTCAGCTCTGGAGGTGCTGAGTCCTCCCAGGCCGTGCAGCAGAAATGCCCTGTTGTGGTTCCCAACATCGAGGCCCAGCAGAGCAAGCAGAGCAACCACTGGCCCCTGAACCAGAAGAAGTGAGGGACCCAGCAGCCACCACTGCTCAAGCAAAAGTGCCCTGGATGTGCCACAATGCACAAACCCAACCATGTCATTACAGTCAGGGAGCTCTGCATTCCTCACTTTGGGCTGTGCTAGAAACATTGCTGCAAGCACTGCTGGGAAAAGTGATTTGTGCTTTGGTGACAGGGAAAGATTCTTCTTTCCATCTCCTTTTGCTTGTGGGCTGGAAAATAAAGCTTCATAGTCTGTGGGAAATCCCAGTATCTGAATGAATCCTTTCATTTCTGGCTCTGCTCAAAATCCAGGGACTCCGTAAGTCCACTTCACACGCTTTATCCTCAAACATTTTTTATACGTATTTTACAACCATACTCAAATAGTATTCATTTTCATAGAATTCAACCATGTTCAACATCAAGAGCAGGTTCTTAGCTTTGCTCTTGCTGAGCTCAGAGCTTCCCCTGTGCTGTCCCCATCAAATGGAAATGCTGTGCCCTGCTGAGACCCTCTCCATGGCCAGACTCTACAAGCTACAGTAAGGAGATATGCAAAATACCCAGGTGATTTCCAACTGATTATTATTTACACCGTGACCTTGGGAGTGCAGGGTTGTTTACTTGGAAGAAATTACACACCAGACTCCTGGCCCAGGGAGATTGCAGGTGATGTCGTAAGCCAAGAGCACGTAAACCTTGTGCTTGCACCAGATGAGGCAACTGGAACAAGCTCGTTCGCTTCTTCGCATTAACCTGCTTCATTTGATAGGATCAGGCCCTAAATTAGACACAGGGAGAAGATGGTTCCTCTGTGCTGATGGGACACACGGGGGAGGCTTGAACATCCAGTGCTGGTTGTTATGTGGTGTTTGCCAAACATTTTGTGTTCCAGTACTGTTCCCTAGGGTGTTTTGACTCCTCCAAATATTGGTAATGGAGGGAAAGACCCACCCATAGATCTGTGCCCATTTCAAAGGAACGCCAAAGAGCACAAAATTACATTGTACAATATCTTTCACCCACCTGTGAAAGAGATTTTGGCCCTTTCAGCTCAATAAAACCCCAGAAAACTTTGCTCTGATGTCTGTAAAACACCACAGCTTATAAAAAACAAAATCCTCTGAGCTCCAGCCACGTGTTTGGTGCCACAATGGGTATCATTCACGCTGTAAATTGTAAGCCTGTGGCATGGGGAACATTACACAAGGTTTTGTCACCGGCTATATTAAATTCTATTCTAAAATTAGCCTGTGATATCATTTATTTGCATCCACTTGTATGTCTAAAATCTACCACTTCATTATTGATTCCTGTTATTTTCCCTACTTTATCTGATAGCACCAAAGGTAGGGGAGGAACTCAAACAACTTCCAAGAGACTTCCAGAACACTGATTAGTCTTGAGCATCCAAAAACTTCTTGTCTATTTGACTAACTGACAAAAAAACATCCCCAAAATAGAAAACACTGAAAGTACATTCCTTATTCCCTATCCCATCTGGCTGGCTTTTTGAGGCTTGTATCAAAAAGCATTCCACAAGCTTAGATGTTGACTGGGCTCGATGATGTAAGGGTGGTGAGGCCCTGGTATAGGGTGCCCAGAGAAGCTGTGGCTGCCCCATCCCTGGCAGTGTTCAAGGCCAGGCTGGACAGGGTTTGGAGCCACCTGC